CATAGGCTACGGTAATCGCTTACTCGTGGGCCGTATGCTTGTTTACCACCTTTGTGGTATAAAAACATCGATAAACAACTTTTAAATATCTAAACTACAAGTAAATACGCAGTTTTTTTTTTTTTTGTTGGATGAAAATGGATTGTTAACTCCGCCTGCGCTAACGGGATACGCTGGCGAAGCACCAGTGAAGGGTGATAAATGAGAATGAAAACAGGCCAGTTAGCCCATCATGATGAATTCATCATGAAGAATTAATTATGATAGTTTCCAGGGGGAACCGCGTGGAGGTCGACCTGGTGGGGTATATTGCTAGCAACGGGATTTTCAGTCTCCATTACTAACAATCCCTTTCCCCCCAACGCAGTTTATTTAGTAACTAGTAACCAGCCCGGCTTCGCACGGGTGCAATATTTGTTTTTGTAACTTTTAAACTCTTTAATATATTTTAGTAAGGCTAGTATTTTGGCGTGTGTGAAAGTACTGCACTAATATTCTCTAACATTTTAAAATGAACTGCATGTAAAATTCATTTTAATCTTGACATAAAATCCTTCTTTTTTAGCTAAAATATTAAACTTAGATATATAGTGTCGCGGAGTTTTTTATAACGCTAAAAGTATTTAATATTTTTGTTATAAAACTGCTATTATTTTTGTTACAAACTGTTCATGCAGCATACGCCATATTATAGAATTTTTACCGACTTCAATTACATTTATTGTGATTAATTATTGAAAATATATATTTACCAAAGTAAACAGTAGTCTATGGCACGCAGGAATAATATACCATTATAACAGCGAAAGAATTTTCAAAATGGATCAGTAGTACCACAGATTATCCCGAACATCCAAACTCACAAACTTCACCTCTTTATGATACACGTTTTATTTCATATAATTGAAGGGTATGCGCCATCTATCTCTAAGTGTGTCTATGTAAAATAAATATTAATTAACATAATTTATTATGCTTTTGAAACATACACTAGAGTTGCCAACCAAAGGGAAACTCAAGATATTTTACACCTGAACAAATACACACTGTACCTGTTAAATATTTAATTAGTTATCGATCTTTTATTATAACACGAAGATAGCAAACAAGCATATAGCCCATCTGCTGGTAAACGGTCACTGTAGCCTATGTACGCCTACAACACTAGGGGTGTCACGTGCGCGTCGCCGACCCTGAAGAAACCTCCTTCAGAATTCTCCTTCAGAGGCCGAAAATTCCTTCAAAACCACATTGTACGTGACCAGTCCGGTTCAAGCGTATGAGCCTGAATTCTCTGTCGATGATGAGCGGTGCGATGATGAAAGGTCGCTGTGGGCATCATCATTAAAGGTCTAATTTTAAGTTAGGTCTTTTTTTTAATGGATGATAATGGAATGGTAACCCCGCCTGCGCTATCGGTATACGCTTACAGGGCACCAGTGAGAAATGATAGGTGAGAATGAAGAGGCACGTCTATTCGCCCATCGTGATGAATAACACCCGGAGTTCAGCACGATGGTTTCCGCGTGGAGGTCGACCTGAAGGGTACATTGCTATCAATTGGACTGATAATCTGCATTATTAATAATCCCTTTCCCCCCCTAAGTCAGGACTTTAGGGATATATAATTCATCATCGTCATATAAAGGCTGATATATATAACTTTTCACTGCTGAACATAAGCCTTCCGTTTGGGGTGTATTGCCAGTAGTTGTCACGCTTGGCATGCGGATTGGCAACCGCAATCAGGCTTTCGAGATGTTTCAAAAGGGACGCTGATGCCTATCCCTCGCCTTCCTTAGTCGGTTCTTACGACACCCACGGGAAAGGAAGGGGTCGCCTATTCTATGGCGGGACCACGCGTGCATATACGAGTATACTTACTTCAGTATAAACTGTATTCGATTTGATGTAGTAGTTATTGTGTGACATACAAACATACAGACAGACTGTCAAATGGATAGACAGACAGAATTTCTGAATATTATTGTTTTTGCTTCCATTGCTCCTATTAAAACTCTTTATTACATTTTTTTTTTATTCTCTCTCATGTACTGTGCCTACATTTTCCAGTCCAAATTGTTATCTTAGTAATATATCAACTCTAATAATTATTTACAGATTTTCATAGAGTAAGAAATAATTATTATATATACGTATGTGTACTATGTCTGTCGCGTATGTACTCATGTCTATAGGCGACGGTTACCACTTTCCATCAGGTGGGCCGTCAGCTTGTTTGCCATTCTAAGTTGTATAAAAATAAAAAGTACTAGCAATTGTTACACTGATAAGATTTAAAATTAAAGTTACTGTCTATTTATACTTAGTGTACGATTATTTTAAAGGAAACACAGCATGCTAATTAACAAATAAACAATATACAGTATAACAAACCCTTGTGGTATTTGACATAGGCAAATAAAGAGGAAGTAAACTCTTGGTTTCATTTCCAAGATGTCTCATAACTGAGGTATTTTTTTTGGTTTGAGGTACCGTATTAAAGGTAATTCTGTACCGATTTGATAATTATTTTTGTAATCGTTATGGTTTATTCCCTTTTTGATCCCATCCTAATTCTTTTCATGTGAAGTTGGTATTTTTGTAACAAATTTTAATTTAATTAAATGTTTTATGATATATATATATATATATATATATATATATATATATATATATATATATATATATATATATATATATATATATATATATAAGTACCTATCTACCAAGGTTATGAATATGTGTATTTTTCTTAAGATTACAAGAGCCTCTGTGGCGCAATTGGCTAGCGCGTTCGGCTGTTAACCGAAAGGCTGGTGGTTCGAGCCCACCCAGGGGCGTTAATATTTTAATCATTTTTATAGGAAAACATTACATTTAAACAATGTGTTAAAAATGAGTCTATACAATCCAAGCTTGATATAAAATTAAAAATGCCAACTTTACGATATAATTTTCCGTATATATTTATACGCCATATTTAAAAACCAATATTTTTTTATTTTTACGTTACAGCAAAGATATGCCACAAATACTGTCTTAACAAGTCTATTTAAAAACCAGCCTTCAGACTTTATCATCAAACTCTGGGCACCACACAGGGTTATAATCTTTATCAAAATAAATTAAACAAGCCTAAACAGAACTGATTTAATATGCATAGTTCATAAGTTCCTATGATCACTTTCCGTCGCTATCATCAGACCGCTCCAGATTGTATGGTACCATAATAAATACTGTATTGGCACCAAACTTACATAATTATGTAAAATTTTAGCATAATCGAATGTGCTTGTTTAAAGTGGTTATAAAATATACTGCAAATTTTGAACAAATAGATAATTGTGCCCACACCAAAATTGCTTGATGTCCTGACGATGTAAGCAGAGCTGTGAACTATACGCAAATACTCTAAGAATATACAAATACTCTGAGAATACACGCGAATCATTTTTATGAAGCCATGACTTGCTAGTAAGATAACTTCCCTATTAGGCCGAATTCACAATATAGTGTTGCTCTCGGTCCTCTCTCGATATGATCAATATAAACAGTTCGAGATTGAACAGGACTAGATTGTAATATACACACATATTCTTTCTTACCAAACCGATATCGATGCAAGAGTGGGCCGAATGAAGAGAACTGACTGAAGAGAAGAGACTGCCGTGTGGATCTGGCTTTACTAACCAATATTCATTTTGTTTGTTTTAAAACGGAAAAAATAATAACATAGTAATTCTCATCTTCATCTTAAGAGAAACGAGTTGATAATTATAATGCTACATACATACATATATATATCTGTCACGCCTGTCTCCCATTAGGGTAGGCAGAAACAATGGAACGCCAAATGCTTCGATTCAAACCTCTTTCGCTTCTTCCACATTCATCAATCTTGTCATACACGCTCGTCGGTTACGGGTACTTTTAATTTGGCCCTTCTTCAGCACGTCGCCTATTTGGTCGACATACGTCCGTCTAGGGCGGCCCCTACCGACATCTCCATTCATTCTTGCTCGATAAATAATTCTTCTTTCATCCATCCTCTCCAAATGACCAAACCAACGCAACATTCCTTTTTCAATTTTTGTCACTACATCGTCTTTCAGTCCACACTTCTCTCTAACCACACTGTTTCTTACTCTATCTTTTAAAGTAATACCACACATACTTCTCTAAGCTCTCATCTGTACAGCATTTATCTTACTTTCATGCTTCTTCTGCCATACCCACGATTCGCTTCCATACATGAGTGTTGGTGTCAGTACTACTTGAATTATAGCAAGGCGAGCTTTGCTCGATACATTTTTACTTGACATAATCGAGAGCAGTGCACCGTTAACACTGTTTCCCGCTTTTACTCTCCTCTCAATATCTCTGTCACACTTCCCATTCGTAAACAAAGAACCTAAATATAGAAACTCACTCACTTGCTCCACTTTTTCATCTCCTATCATAATCTGGCATGCCGTTAAACTTTCATTCCTCTCAAAAACCATTACCTTCGTCTTCTTCGCATTTATTTTCATACCTTTTCTTGCGTTAGATATTGTAATTCTCTTTATCTGATCTTTTTCAGTCGGATATTACATATATAGATTTGACAGAATTGTAAAACATAAGAAATAGAAAATCAGTATAAAAATATAAAAGGCGGATTATAGCTAGTAATACGCCACACATCCGTAAGTATACTAGGTTTATAGATTTATTTGACTTTTAAAATACTTGTTTGTAATTTTATAACTCAGTAAGTCTTGATCTATGTATGTCAACCATAGATTCAGAATAAATACAGATAACTATAATTATATTTTTAATCTATAATGTAGTAAACGTCATCTAAGAATGACATTATCTTGGAACAAATGTCTTCCAAACGGAACAAACGTACTAAAAAAAAAAAAAAGGAACAAATGTCAAGTCAGCATGGTCTCCGACCTTAGCCTATTCCATATCGGAACAAACGTACTAAAAAAAGGAACAAATGTCAATGCCAAGTGTCATACGTCAACTTATGTGTGTTGTCGTGTCGTCGTGTCTTATTTTACGCTGTTTTATTGAAATTGTGTTTTAATACAAAAAAGACAAATATAAACTAACTTTATTAACAATCTAGTAGTTCAGAATGGTACACACGACGATGGAGGGTTCGCTTTTTGTAAGTTTTTAACTAAATATTTAATATATTAACTGTTCATAGTCCTAATATTTGTTACTTATTATTGCATTTGAATTACAATATAGTTGGTCAAAAGTTCCCAACATTTAGAGCTTAATTTTTATAAATTATTATTTATGTAATAAACTGGACAAATCTCGTTGTGTTTTGTGTATACATTTTTTATCATTTTACTAGAGTAAAACATCGCCAATTTGTACCTATTGGTAAAAAAATAGAAACCTTTTACATTTGCTGAGAGAACGTTACCGAAATTATCGTCAATAGGTATTGTTAAACAATCTTAGATAACAAATTTTAACCCTTTACCTACACCGTCCTTTATCCTAGCACAGACTTGAATTTCTATCAATTTATCCATCAATAAGTATGTAAACCTATCACATCAGTTATCATTAAGTGCATCACAATCACATGAGTACATTTGTATTTTTTTTTTAAAGATACAAATAAAGTGGTTTTCCTGCCTGTGTTAATGGTATACCGTCTCAGTGGTGATTGGTGTTGCACTAGTGTAAGGGATTACAGTTGTAGATAAAGTTAAATAAGATATCCCATCATGACTGATTTACTGGGAATTAGCCATATTAATTGGTATTGTGGATTGAGGATATTGGATTCAAAATATTGTGGAACTAATAATATATATATTGCTAAGAATGAATTCTAGTCAATGGGAGTAGCAAATTCATTCCTTCTCCATTTTTATATTTATTAATCAAATAGGACATTTAAGAAGCTTACCATGCAGAGCTCTATTCATTTGCAAAAAAATAGATTTTTTTTTTATACAACTTATAATGCCAAATAAGCTGACGGCCCACCTGATGAAAAGTGGTAACCGTCGCCTATAGACATGAGCAGTACCATGGACATAACAGAGTATACTATTTCACCCATGATACCCCATTCCGTATTCAGGTTGTATACCCCATACAACCTGAGTTCTCAGGTGTTGCCATTCCTGAGAACTCAGGTGTTATTCCTCTGTACTCTGTGAAGTCACTGCCATATCCCACTCTTCAAACCGGGGGGGAAAGGGATTGTTAGTAATGGGGTCTAATAGCACCATTGTTAGCAATATACCCTCTTAGATTGACCTCCATGCGGTTCTCCCTGGAAATCATCATGTTTAATTCTTGTCGAATTCATCATGGTAGGCCAACTGATCTGCATTCATTCTCACCTATCATCTTCCACTGGGGCCTCATCGATGTATACCGATAGCGTGGGCGGGGATATAATTCCATTTTCATCCATTAAACCCCCTTTAAACCAAAACACAGACATGCGAATACAATTGTTTCATCATAGAAACACAAATGGGACAGAGATATCAAGCAATGACTTTTGTACAAAGTCTCCCTCTGGTAGATTGATAATTAATGGTCTAAAGTAACTGTATTCTCACTGGCCTATGACCCAATCATCAGGCTAAGTCCAAAATTGTTCAAATAAACACAATTTATAACTGTTTAATTTCAGGAACCAACACTTTACATTGTCAAAGGCATGTGCATACTGGACAATGATGGAAACAGAGTTCTCGCTAAATATTATGACAAAAATGTCTTGCCAACGACCAAAGAACAGAAAGCTTTTGAGAAGAATCTGTTCAATAAAACACACAGGTGAGAAAGAAATTATCAGCCTTCACCCATAAGTAGTTTTTATTCCATAAAAAAGACTTACTTTGACTGTGGCAAAATCTTTAAAAAAAATTTCATAACTAAACTGCTTACCCGATTTTGATAAAATTTCAATAGGACTAATCTGTAAGTATATCCTTTCAGATAAGAAAAGAATTTACTAAATTTTATCAATATCAGTTCAGTAGATTAATTTTTAGATCATGGAAATTGGTTGTGTAATAATCGAAGTTGGTTTCTTTTGCGAGAGACACAATCTGTTATTATTTTAAAGCCATTTAAAAAAAGAATGCTAAGAGTGTCAAAGCTACATTATACATGATGACCTGACTTGATTTACTAGACAACTTTATGTGCCTGCGTGTCAAAGAACAAAGTAAGATGTTAATTTTTTTTACTGAATTAAGTATTACTTCATAATCATGGTCATCAGCAGAAATCCATATCTCTTGATAGTTGATTATCAGAATTATTTTCAATTCAATTTATTTATTGCATTCTACAATATTATTTTGAAACATCTAATAATCAATCTAATAATTAATAAAGTATATTGTAGACCCTGTTGGGCACAGCAATTAGAAGTGAGGAGAGTGTTGTTTTTAAAATTTCAATAATTTTTATTTAAAAAATAAAATCTAATGATATAAGTTTTATTTAATTTTGTTTAATTCCTCTACCATTAGTATATCGTCATAGTCGTAGAATACTGACGGATCTTTATATGTAATATTTGTAAGATCCATCAGTATTCTACGACTATGACGATATATGTATAACTGCCAACATTTGATGACTCATTATATCAGGTACTAATAGTAGTAGAAATTAACAAAATAATTCTAACAACCTGGAATTATTTTGTTTAATTCCGCTACCATTAGTATGTGTGCAACTACCAATATTTGAAGGTTGATTACTATTATTATTAGTATATTTATTGTAGCAGAATTATACAAAATAATTCTAATCAACTGACAGGTATTAATGGTTTGTTAAAATTATCTACTATAATTAAAATTAAAAGAATCAATTATTGTTGTTGATGCAAATTTATTTACAATTTCAGAGCGAACGCCGAAATCATAATGTTAGAAGGTTTGACGTGCGTCTACAAGAGTAACCTCAACTTATTCTTCTATGTTATGGGCAGCTCACATGAGAATGAGGTATGGCATGATTCCGATTAATATTAAACAAGAAATTACAAATGATAAAGAGTATATATCTATTATAGGCTATAGCATTTAAAATATGTAATAAATCATAGAGCTGTGATAGAATAGGCCTACCACCAAGGTAGGAATAAGTGGAAGCCTTTTTAGCCAAATATTTACAGTCTAACTAAAAAAAGTTATATTTTATGTTACTTAGAATGGCAAACAAGCTGATGACCCACCTAATGTAAAAGCAATAACCAGACAGCAGGTATATACAACACTATGGACACCACAGAATGTGCTGTAACATTCATGGTGGTCATCCATTGCCATTCTTAAGAACTATGTTGTTATGCCTCCGTAATTTCCACTGCCTTATCCCTTTAAACAAATTCTACTATGCTCTGCAATATGTAGCCATACCAAGTATAATGGCTCCTTAAATACATTTAATTAATTTTATTATTTATACAGTGTTTTTATTATCCAAAATCTATACAATACAGTTTACTAAACATGGATGTGCAAGTGTGAATCACAACATAGCTTCTTCATTTTCACATTTTTCCTTATCTTTAATTGACAGCTCATCCTTCAGTCGGTGCTGAACGCTTTATACGAGTCTGTGAGCATACTGCTCCGAAGGAACGTAGATTGGCGCACCTTGATTGATAACTTGGACGCTGTTATGCTCGCCTTCGACGAGATTTGCGACGGAGGGTAAGGATCTTGTATTTTTGTTTTTTATGATGCTTAGAATGCCAAACAAACTGACAACCCATCTGATAAAAAGTCATAATCGTCACCTATAGACATGAACAATGCCACGAAGTGCACTGTCATGCCCATGAATTCTACCCCATGTGAATTTTTTATGTGCCGAAATTGTAATCCCGCCTGCGCTATCGGCATAAGCTGGCACCAGTGAGTGGTGATAAGTGAGGATGAAGACAGCTATCTGTTGGATCATTAAGAATTAATGACAACAGTTTACAGCAGGCATAAAATGCCAATGTCCGTGTGATCCCATTTGATTGAGTGTTGTAAGAGGTGACTAAGGGATGGGCAGCAGCGTCCCTCTTAAAACATCTCTAAAGCCTAACTGCGGTTGCCAATCCGTATGCCAAGCGTAGCAACTACTAGTAAAACCCCCCAAGGGAGAAGCTTATGTTCAGCAGTGGACGGTTAGAGGCTGATATGATGATGATGAGGATATCAAAATAAAACATCAGATTTTAAGTTAGACATTTAGCAACATAACTGTACAAACTAGGATACTATCCATGTTGCAAATTTCATTCAGTAGTTTTTGTATGTAAGTATAATAAACATCCTTACAATCTTTCGCTTTTATAAAAGTATAAATAAAATTAGTAAAACTAATTATTAAACATGCAGCTCACCTGAAATCGTGTACATTCTAGAGTGATCTTGGACTCTGACCCCATGTCTATTGTGGGTCGCGCCGCGCTTCGAACCGAAGACGTCCCGCTGGGAGAGCAGACCGTCGCGCAGGTAATGCATAAACTCAACAAGTTGTTTAAGTAGCGCTCCTATATATTACTAATGCCTTAGTACATTTTTTTTGGCACTAATTTGAATGGCTTGGTTCTTTTGAATCAGATTATAAAGTATTTACTAACATAATTGTTACTATCCAGCTAAGAGATTAGTATTATTTTGTTTATTTCCGCTATTACTTGCTATTGGATTCGTATTATTTTGTTTAATTCCACTATCATTATTTATATTACATTGATCAACAAATTTGACAAACTGATTAACATTTATAAATATTACTAATGCCCTAAAAAGTCTTTGGCACTAATTTAGATGGCTTTTGGATAGCTTCTTTCTTAAAATTTTATAATTGGTATAAAATTGAAAGGGTGTTTTTTATTTCGTAAAGGGCCCTAAAAAGCAGAAACTGCATTAAAAATATATTTTAAAAATGTATTTAACTTGTTATTAATTACTAAAAAAAGCTATCTAATTCACACAAACCGATAAGGGTAGAGCTTATAAACTAATAAATGTGGCAATATAATTTTTCATTAATTATTATATTAACGCTAATATCATATACCTAGCCAAATATGGCTTTATTTTTTTATATACTAATATGCTGATTAAAAGTTTATTTGGTTGTTTATGTATTTAAGTTGTTAAGTTTTAGTTTGTTACAATTAAATTGTTATTTTTAATAAATACTAATATTTACAAAACTTCTCTATTATCATTTCTAACATTTAATTACATAAGTGATTTATTTTAACATTAACTTGTCAAATAAACTTACCGTCATCATCAAAGATTATTTTGACATTAAATATGAGTAATTCTTATCACACCATCAAAGCCCAATATAGATTTTTTTATCTGTCCCAGCAAAATAGACGTTTGTTGTACTACGCCCTACTGTCGCTCTCTGAGGCCTTGCGCATTTAGGCGCAGGCTCTTAGGCATTTTAACACCTCACTGGGCACTGGTCTTCGTAAATAATATTAACTTACTTCTAGTTCATCGTCATCATCATCTCAGCCATTCTACTTCTGGTTAATTGATTACCATTAGGTATTTTGTTTAACTCCGCTATCATTTATGCCATAATAGCAGAATTAAACAAAATAATTCAGATCAATCAACCTTCCACAAAATAACTCCTTATTCGTTAAAATTAACCTGCTCTTCAGATTACCACTTTGATGATTTACAATATCGTGTATGTTGCTTGATAATAACTACCAAATTTTCTTCTTACGTTGGTTTATTCTACTCCCTTTGCTTAATCGCCTTTTAAACCATGAGGATAAAAAGATTTGGTAGTATTTTGGGGTTGATACTGAGGTGCACTTTTCTTTTAAAGTTCAACTTTAAAATTCAAATTTCAATTTAAAGAACCAATGTAAGGACCAATATGAACTTAATTTTTTTTTTATACCACTGAGGTGGCAAACAAGCATACGGCCCACCTGATGGTAAGCGGTTACCGTAGCCTATGAACGCCTGCAATACCAGAGGTATTACGCGTGCGTTGCCGACCCTAAAGAAACCTCTTTACCCCCCTTTTGAAGAACCCCATGCTGTAGTCTCTTGGGAAAACCTCGGCAGGGAGCTCATTCCATAACCTGAGTGTTCGTGGAAGAAAACATCTCTGAAACCGCGTTGTTTAGATTTAGATTTAAGTAAAAAGACTAATAGATTTAAGTACAAATTCTGACTGATAGTCTTAAATCATTTTTATATGTATTTTTTTTACCAGAATCTTTCCAATATTTTATTAGTTATTCTGTTATTCAATGCGGTAACGAATCTAATAAATCATAGACCTTCAAAATCTGCCTCGCCCTTCTGGCGTTATAATTGGCGTAACTAACCCGATTTTGTTTTATTTATATAGATTTAATTTATGATGGTCCATAAAGTAATAACTTCTCGCGAAACTATCCAATTAAAATTAGTATCGTTGTGTTTGTAACTTGTCTTGCTTATTTCCTATATTGTATAATGCAAATAAAGTATACCCATTCATTCATTAAAATATTAACTTAAGAGGACAGGTTGAGGAAAAAGGCGCATCAGAATCGACCCAATTATATTCTTCTATATGAAATAATAAATTTCATAATCTATCATTTGTTAAAACAAACTTCATTAGGTTCTCTATGGCTTGTAGTTTTTATTTATTTAAGCAACTTCCAAAAGGAGGAGTTTCTTAATTTATCTGTTTTTTTTATATGTTACGTTACTAATTCTGAACCGATTTTAATAATTCTTTTTCTAATTGATGTTGTCTTGTTGGTTTCATATTAATTTTGTGCCAATTGAAGCTGCCGTTTTTCTTTGCAGAGACACAATTCCATCTACATTAATATATTTTCAATCTAATGTGTCTACGAAACATTACTCAGTGTGTTAATTCACAATGTAAATAGCTTTTTCTCTTATTATTTTTTATCCCCTATCTGTAACGGCCTATATTTTTATAGAACCGAGCTTTCAGTATATATTTCCTATTTCAGATACTGAACAACATTATGAATTTTTAAGTAGAGCTGATATGTGAAAACTTAGAATGTTTAGTCGAATATTACTGTTGTAGTTTGCTTATTAAATTTATTTTTTTTAACATTGCTTTTTTATTTTTTAAGCAATAACCCCACCGCTTTTTACTTGCTTTTGCTTTTACCAGACATATACAATAAAATAAATAAAAAAAAATGTGTTCCACAAAAAAAAACCCACTTTAGTTATGACAAAACTAGTTATTTTGATTTAAAAACTGTACTGATTTTGTTAAACCTTTTATGGGGCAAGTCTGTAAGCATATCCTTTCAGATAAAAAATAATAATTTCCAACTGCCAGAGTTATGAGGTAACAAACTTAAAAAAAAATACAACCGAAATGAGAACCTCCTTTTTGTAGTCGGTTGAAAGTAAATAATTAAAATATTGTTATAAAAAGTTGGCAGTTTTGTTTTAATTTATTCAAGTAAACTTAATCATTTTTTATGATTCTACCGCCCATTCGTAGATAATGCAATAATCTATAAATTCCATCTTTCTAGGGATCATTTGTGCACTGGCTTAGTTTTTATGAATTCTGTAATAATGAGCGTAGGTAACATAGCCTGTATATTACCTACGCTCTAGATTTAACACCTGTAATTTATGGGTTCGACATACGCACGAGCATGTCTGTTGGTATGGACCTGGATATTTTTTTGGATATTTTTTTTATTATAATTTCAAAAACATATTTAAAAGTATATCTATCAATTGTCTAATATTAATAGTATAAGCTGGGGGGAAAGGAATTGTTAGTAATGAGATCTAATAGCCCCGTTGCTAGTAATATACCCTCTCAAGTCGACCTCCACGCGGTTCCCCCTGGGAATCTTGTCGAATTCATCATGGTGGGCCAACTGACCTGCATTCATTCTCACATATCATCTGTCACTGGTGCCTCGTCGGTGTATACCGATAGCGCGGGCGGGGTTACCATTTCATTTTCATCTATTAAAAAAAAAATTGAATAAGCTTGCTTAGTTTGATACTAGATGGCGGTGTGGGTTAACAAGTAGTACCCGTTTACTAAGCTCTAATAATAATTAGACAGCTGTACGCGAGTTATTGTATATTTAACTATTGGGTAGTTCAATATTGACTACCTTAAAATGATATTAATAATTCCTATTTTATTTGTACCTATTAAATACTAGTAGACACGACAAGCATTGTCCAGATTCTGGAAATTCTGCATGTTCTGGACTCCAGAAACTCATCGCAGCGTCTCCTACTGGACCCAGTATTAATGTAAACTCTAAGGACTTCAAAATTCGTCCAAATCCATTTTTATTAATTACAATAAAGGAATAGATTCGTTTCTCAACGGTTAACCATTACAACTTCCTATAGTAGAGAATAACATATATGAATGTGGTAAAGATGTTTTTTTTTTTTTTTTATACAACTTAGAATGGCAAACAAGCTGACGGCCCACCTAATGGAAGATGATAACCATCGTCTATAGACATGAGCAGTAGCATGGACATAACAGACTATAACTGTTACGCCCATGATAACCCCCCATGTGTTGCTATTCCTGAGGACTCAGATGTTATTCCTCTGTACCCTGTAAATTCACGCCATATCCCACCCTTCAAACCGAAACACAGCCATGCAAACACAACTGCTTCACGGTAGAAACACGAATGGGACAGGGGTACCCAAGGAATCGACTTTTGTACAAAGTCTCCCTCTGGTGTAGGTGATCTTAATAACATTTTCTTTTCCTGCTCCTTGTATATATGGTCAGTCCTCGCTCAAAAATAATTCCTTTACCTACATCCATTTTATGCCTAGGGGGAAAGGGATTGTTAGTAATGGAGACTAAAAATCCCATTGCTAGCAATATACCTAACCAGGTCGACCTCCACGCGTTTCCCCCTGGAAACTGGCATGATTAATTCTTCATGATGAATTCATCATGATAGGCTAACTGGCCTGTTTTCATTCTCATCTATCACCCTTCACTGGTGCTCTGCCAGCGTATCCTGTTAGCGCAGGAAGGGTTAGCATTCCATTTTCATCCAACAAAAAACCCTATGATCTAGAACTCTTTCTTTCTTCTTCTTTTTTGATTCCTTCTTTCATTTCTCATAATAAAATCAAATTAAAAATCTACGACCACTAATACCAAAATCATTCCCGATCCTTTTTAATATTGTATCAAGTTTCCAGTTTGTTAATGGTATAATGGACAATGCTAGCCCCTTGCCAAATTTCCAGTTTGTGAGTGGTGTAATGGGCAATGCTAGCCCCTTGCCAAATTTCCAGTTTGTGAGTGGTGTAATGGGCAACTTTAGCCCCTTGCCAAATTTCCAGTTTGTTAGTCGCATAATGAGTAACACTAGCCTCTTGCCAAATTTCCAGTTTGTGAGTGGTGTAATGGGCAACACTAGCCCCTTGCCAATTTTCCAGTTTGTTAGTGGCATAATGAGTAACACTAGCCTCTTGCTAAATTTCCAGTTTGTGAGTGGCGTAATGGGCAACACTAGCCCCTTGCCAAATTTCCAGTTTGTGAGTGGCGTCATGGGCAACACTAGCCCCTTGCCAATTTTCCAGTTTGTTAGTGGCATAATGAGTAACACTAGCCTCTTGCCAAAATAAAATAAAAAAATTCAAATAAACACCGCAGAGAATAACTATTCTCATTCTACGGAATCACCGTTGTCTCTACAATGCAGCAGGCAGCAGTGAAATGTATATTTCTAAGAACAAGGAATTACATAGAAGGAATGATAAAAACTAAATCATATGGTTGCCTCCTTTCTTTTTATGCAAATATAATTAGTAAAAAGAGGACGAAAGATACACCATCAGTTGCTATTTTTCTCAATTCATAGCAGGCTAGTGTATAGAAAATGTGTATGTAAAATGTTTGTTAATATTGATATGTCTATTATTTGTCAATAACAAATTTTACATTACTAGATTATATATTCGACACAGTTTATGTAGAAAGTATGCAAGCAGGTTGTATCTGAATACGGCCAATAAAGCCAAGTGGCATATTTTATTGAATTTGACTTCTACAGACTAGTTAAAAGGCAGATGCGTTATTATATATCTATCCCTCTCTAATACATTGGCAAAGTATTAAATACAACGAGCAACACTATGTGAATTATGCATTCCATCTATTCTATTTCGAAATCTTTATTTATTACTAACTCTAAGAATAAGAACCACCAACGTAGACTTTCTTAATCTATGATTATTATATTTTTTGGTTCTTTTTATTTTATCCATGGACTTAGTATAACGTAATTATATACTTCATATCTAATTTTTTATCCCAAAGGGGAAAGCAAAGGAATCGACCCGTACAGCTCATGGTAATGATTCTTTTCAAATCATTGTTTGATTTACATATTTTGAATTATTAAGATGATGTAACTGCAACTATTGCATTCAGTAGTTTATGCATGAAAAATTACAAACATACCCGAGTCCTCAGGAATGGCAACGCATGGGCGGTATCATGGGCGAAACAGTACACTCTGTTATGTCCATGGTACTGCTCATGTCTATAGGCGACGGTTACCACTTTCCATCAGGTGGGCCGTCAGCTTGTTTGCCATTCTAAGTTGTATAAAAAAAACATGCATGCATCCATCATTGCATTTATAATATTATAATGGGATTTATTTCTTTATTTTCAGGTGTTGCAGTCTGCGAAGGAGCAATTGAAATGGTCGCTGCTGAAATAAAAAAAAACCATTCTAATATTTATAAATACTAATATACATATTATAAATATTTTATCAATTAAAGAAATAATTACTTACTAAAAAAATATATTATTTCACTATATAGTATCATCCATCTCCTGACCATTAAGTTCCCTTAGTTGACTCTTAGAACACTCATGGAAAAGGAAGGGGTGGCCTATGCGGGGACAACACGGCCACAATAGAATTACTTTTATCTAAATAAATACTGATTATCTTATATATAAAATTCTCGTGTCACGGTGTTTGTTACCAAACTCCTCCGAAACGGCTTTACCGATTTTTATGATATTTTGTGTGCATATCGGGTAGGTCTGAGAATCGGCCAACATCTATTTTTCATACCCCTCAATGATAAGGGTGACCCACCCCTAAAAAATATATTTTTATTTTTTTGACATTTTTTTTTTATTTTAATATGATTTAGCATTGAAAAATACATACAACTTTAAATTTTCATCGTTTTACGATCAACCCCTGTATTTTAATTCTCAGACCTACCCGATATGCACACAAAATTTCATAAAAATCGGTAAAGCCGTTTCGGAGGAGTTTGGTAACAAACATCGCCACACGAGAATTTTATATATTAGATATGTATTTGATAAAATTGATCTAAATACACTTTATGATTAAGGAAACCATTTCATGTTGTGGAGTAAAAAACTGCTTCTTTCTTTACTAAATAAAATTTATATGAAACACGAAAAATTATACTTTCAATGTAGAATTATCTACAAAATATCTCGTTTGTTTTTTTATTCGATGTGTTTATGTTTACGATTTAAATGACTTTGTTTGAGCTATATGTACTTGGGGTCGCGTCCACTTTATACGAATCATACAAGAATGTGCCTTACATTATCCATCGAGTTAAATAGGTTTCTAGCACTGAGAGCGTAATATTAACTGACTGGTACATTTACATTAGCGGGTTATATAAAGCAAATTCTACTATGATTTACATACAGTGAGGTTTCTAACCCCCATTGCGTTCCAAAGTATTGCCAAGCGCTTATCTACACTGGACTCTTCCTAGTAAGACCTTGATCAAAAACCTCCGGCGTCGGTTCCGTGTTCAATTTAGAAATTTGAAAAAAAAACAGGATGATTTTTGTCTCTCAATAATTTGAACAGCACATTCTCTGATGTACTCACGAAGCAGCCGATGTTTTGGAAGCGCTGGAATTAAAAAAAAAAACGCCCTTGTACTGTGGAATGTTTTATTGATAATATCACATACAAAAATATAATTTATTAACAATTTTAAAACTTGTACAAATAGAAATAACTTCGTATTTTTACAAAAAAATAAAAATAAATAAACCTCTTGACTAAAAACTCAATAATGACAATTAATTCATTTTCAATTTTACAATATAATCACATAATGCGTAATAAAATTAATTTTCATTCGTTAAGACAGCGAATGTTCATTCGAAATTGAAATTGAAATTGAAATCATTTATTTGCTGGAATAAGGTACATTTTTAGGTGTTACTTTACAAGAAAAATAGTCCAATCTTATTCTGCCACACTGTAGGCGTGCAAATATAAAAACTTATTAAACAAAACATTAAAATAATTTTATCATAATAACATAAACATTTGCAATAATATTTTGTCACTTTCTGTATGACTCTATATTACAATGTATTGACATGAATAGATCATGTCAATACATTGTAATATAAAATCATTAAAAATATACACAACACAAAGTGAACACATATCTAATCATTTATAATTATTTTATCATTTAAAAACTCATTTACTGAGTAATAACATTTATCCATAAATAGCTTGAAGAGCTTTTTTTTGTAATAGGACAAATTATTACAATTTCTGATACTTTCAGGCAAATGATTATATATCCGTATTGCCATGCAATGCAAAATGAATAAAAAACAATAATCGATTATCGAAAATAAATCGAATTGATTCATATCCGCGCTTCTCTAACATAGTATAATGTATCCCTAAATTCGAAATCTTTAGTATATTTTAAGTATTTATAGATAGTAGAGCTAAGGAAAACTATCTCATATCAGAGAATAGTAAGCAAGTGTCCAACTGTAAACTGTCATATCAATCTTTAACGGTCCACTGTTGAACATAAGCTTTCCCCTTGGGGGGATTTTCCAGTAGTTATAAGCTGTAAATAACAGTTCCAAATCCCTCCAGAATGGCGCTAGAGTAACAGATGTGTATAAAATGAATTTAACAACTGTAAATGTTAGAAGACCGCACCTCATTACCCAGAGAGGTATAGTACCAGTGATCCGGGGGTAGTCGTCCCCGAGTTGAAGCTGGGGCAAAGGGGTCCGCCCCGAGGCCCCACCTAACCCTCCTCATATATCAGAGAGTTGGAAGACCCAATTAATTGTTATTGTGGTTACCATACATGATTGCTTTACGCTTCAACATATCTGATGGCAAGGAACTAGACCGGCTCCCTGCCAGCACCGGCCCACGTAGTAGCCACGGACCTCCCTGTTACTGTAGTTAAGAGCGACAAGTCGAAAAATTTAATGCAATAAGTTTTACGAATATATTTAACATAACTTTAATTAGATGCAGGTGGCTCAGAACCGTTCATTATGGCAGTCTATGGGGGAGGATTACGTCCAGCGGTGGACGGGTAACGGTTGATATAATAACACGAATTTTAAGGATTAGATTTCTGTAACTAAGTATTAGTTACAGAAATCTAATCCTTAAAATAGTACTGTATTATACTGTATTATAAACATATATTGGAACGAATCTCTACAGTTTAGATGATATGTTATTATTATCAAATCCCAACGTGTCAACAGTGGGTTCTTTATTAAGTTTGGATATGTATTTGAAAACAGAGTTATCCTTATCTCTGAGTAGTTTAAACAGAACATTTTCCGAAGTAGTTACAAAACAGCCCAGGGACTGCATGCGCTGAAAACAAGATATTATTAAGCCTTATCTTCGAAGCATTTAGATGAAGATATTCTCTTTTTTTTTTCACGTAACTTCAAAAAGAAGGAGCTATTATTCTCTCATTACTCTGCCAGATATATTTACAATTTGGACCGATATAAATTATATCAAAATCGCTTCAGTAATTCAGTATAAACTAAATAAAATCAATATATATATATATATATATTGATTTTAAAAAAAAAAAAAAAAAAAAAAAAATATATATATATATATATATATATATATTCTTTATTGCACTAAAACATACAGTAACAACAATAAGTTAATAACAATGTTAGCAAAGGCGAACTTATCTCTAAAAGAGATCTCTTCCAGTCAACCTAACACAGTGGCGCATAGAAAATAGTGAGTTTTGTCACAATTAAAGATAAATTAATGGGATACAGTCTTTAATTATTTTCTATACTGGCACGACATGTTGACGCCACAGCTAATTCATTGGGGTAAGTCCCTATCCACTTGTTTTTCTATATAGTACTTCTAAACCAAATTAGGCCCACTAGACAAGTACCAAGCGAGTCTATCGATGGAATCGTTATCGAAAGCGATTCCATGAATTGGAATGAGACATCAAACGTTGCTATCTCATTTTATCACATGGACTTGCCAGCGATGTCGATTCCATCAATAAATTCGCTTGCCACTTGTCTAGAGGGCCTGAACTCCATTTGGTTATTTTTTTTTTGTCACTTATAAATACTTCAGCCCAAAACCGATGTGGAAAATTCTTTTTTTGTCTGAAAGAAAAAACTTACAAAATAGTCTCATAGTAATTTTACCAAAAGCAGTTCAGTTGTTTAGTTTTTAAATTTAAATAACTGATTTTGCCACAATGAAGTCAGTTTTTTTTGTGGGACACAAATCTTTAATTATAAATTTTGGGTTTATTTTTATACTACTATATCTATGATTACTAACCTGGAAAGCAAGTCCTCTGTCCATTAGAGACCTGGACGAGACACCGTCAGCCAGGACATGGACAGCAATGTCCTCATTCAGCAGGTCTATAACTGTTTGTTCGATGCAAACGTGAGCCTGAAAAGGAGTAAATAGAAATGTATTTTAGGATCTTTTTTGTATGTGATATTTAGGAGAAGCGCATGAAAATAACAGAGGCCTTATACACTCCATTCCCTCTGCCACAACAGACTTAATGTGAAAATAAACAGTTTTCTATTTATTAGAGTTTTGGGTAATTTTTTTTTACAATGCAGGTGGTAAACGAGCATGCGGCTCACCTGATGGTAAGTGACTACCGCCGCCCATGATCACCCACAACACCAGCGGCATTGCAGGTGTGCTGCCGGCCTTTTAAAAAGGAATATAATATAGGATGGAACTTTAGTTTGTGGCGGGTTATACGGTGGTGAAAATCAGCAGCAGGTATCAATAAGAACAATGCTCCCAAATGTTTGTCACCCAGTTTCTCATAATACAAGCTATCCTAGTGTGACGACCAGGCTATTAGTGTAATTTTGTGACACTGGGGGGAGAAGAGATTGTTACTAATGGAACAATACTTATTGCATGATTTTAATACATGTTAAACAGTTTTAATGTATTTAGCATTCATATAAACCTAAGTGATTTCAATGCTTAATGTAACATACTTTCTGTAATTCTGTATTTTTGTAATAATAAATAAAAAAAATATATATTCCCATGGCTAGTAATACAATAATAATAATATTATTTATTTATTCATTTATGTAATTTTAGTATGTATATCAATAATTACTAGTACCGCATTCGAGTATTCTGACACTTCCTTATGGTCGACTGGCAGATAATGCTTTTAGCATTAAGTCCGCCATATACACATATATGTACTAATGAATAAATAAAATAAATACACCCTCCTGTCAGGTTGACCCCCTCACCGTTCCCCCTGGATATCATAGTGCCCAGTTACAAGTGAAATCATCATGAAAGCCTAACTGGATGGAGACTGAGAATCCCATTGCTAGCAATATACCCAACCAGGTCGACCTCCTCGCGGTTCCCCCTGGAAATTATCATGGTTAATTCCTGATGAAGTCATCATAATGGGCTAACTGGCCTGTTTTCATTCTCATCTATCACCATTCACCAGTGTTCTGTCAGTGTAACCCGTTAGCGCAGGCAGGGTTACCATTCCATTTTCACTCAACAAAAAAAAAGCTGACATACCTTTTCATCCTCACCTATCATCTCCCACTGGTGCCCCAGTATACCGTTAGGCAGACTGGGTTACCATATCATTGTCATCTATTTAAAAAAATGTCATAACACTTATTATTTACCTCAATCCCAAACAAGACAACAGAGCTTAAATTTGGCACATCCTTCTTCAGTCTTTCCTGCAGTTCTGGTGTGTACATGGAGAATCTAGTCTTCTCATATACCAATGCAGCATCCTCTAGACTGATATCCTTGGTGGTGTGCCCCAGACCCTTGGGATACTGCTCCGAAACATATACAGGAATTTTGAAATGTTTTGCTGCTTCCACCTGTAAATAAATATGTACATATAAATTAATTACTTGCTTACATTGTTTCTAATTGTAATGTATGTTTAAATGCAGTAAAAATTATATAAATATAAATCTTAAAATAATAAAAAACTATTAAAATATATCTACTAATATTCACAGTAATTATCATGCAATTGAAAAATTTCAAAGTGCAGATGGGATTTAAACTTCATAAAATCTTAATTAAAAATTATTATTCACTTAAATTTTTTTTTAAATAATTGCAATAAAGCAAAAACTATAAAAAAAAATTTTGTTGAAAAAAATTTTAATATCCAATCTTTTTTTGTTGAAATATTTAGTTTATAATATAAAAATAATACATTTTTAATATTTTTTGTCCTTTTGTCTATGAGTTTATATAATAGTAATAAAATTTTCTAAATATACTAAATATAAGTAATATATCGTCATAGTCGTAGAATACTGACGGATCTGACAAATATTACATATAAAGATCCGTCAGTATTCTACGGCTATAACGATATAGCCTGCAATAAAGAGAAAAATATAGAGAATTCTAAACATAGAGGCTCTCATAGTGGGTAGATAATTATTAGTAATGAGTACTAATAGCCCTCACTTCTGGTAACATGTCAATCTTTACATGGTCGCCTTGGAAACCATAATGCTTAATTTCTAGTGAATTGGTCCCAACATGCCAATGAGATTTGACTTACTGGAACTTACAGGTAGCCTGCCGACTTAACCGACAGCCCAGAGGAGGTTACTATTTCATATTCATTTAAAAAAAAAAATTAATATAATCAAATAGTAACTAGACAGTATTTGTACATGACAGATATTAAAGAAAATTTGATATGAAAAGTCTCAGTAAATATAATATCAATAGAACCCAAAATAATAATTAATAGATATTTTATGTTTGTGTATATATATTTATACCAATATCACGCAAAAACTACTTCACCAAATTGGATGCAGTTTACACAATAATATTTCTGAAGGTCTAACTTAGAAACTCGTGTATGTTTTATATCTAGAAATGGTTCAATTAATTGGTTATCCCATCCTTTAAATGTAGCGGGCAAAGAGTCAGTAGTTGCTACAAATATAAATTATTTCTTATTTTATCAATTCCTAAGTCGCAAAGAGATAATCAAGAGGTTATTTATAATCAATTAAGCACGGTATTATCACATCTAATACGCTAATAAACAACGCAAGTATCAAAGATCGAGTTGATAGTGAGCAATAATAGATAATAAGTATTATATAACAATTACATACCATTTTATTCGCCACTCTGACCACTTCGCCGAAGTATTTTATATGAGGTCTGAACGTCTCTTGTATGTCGCATAGCAGGAATGCGGTCCTCTGCGCTTCTAATGCACCCAATTTGAAAATATTACGAGCCGCCATGGTTTGTTATCTATAATTATTTAAGGATAAAAAGTTTAATAAACACACGATTGAACCGGTTGAAGTTTCAAACAACATTGAAAAATGACAGAACAGATCAGTGTTGCCAGATACAATTATTTATTTCTCCCCATATGTCAATTGTTTTTATTCAGTGCATTTTACTGATTGACCAGTATACGAGCAAGAACGTACTCTTAACGTACATACGTATGTTACCTCTTAACGTCATCTGACTATTTTAATAGAGTGTACTTTCTATAATTGTATATAGGTACAACTATTTTTAATTATATTAAAAAAAAAAATTATAAATCAAATACCTACTTAAAGGGGAAATAAGTATGTTTCACAAAAAAAAAAATCGCACACCTCATATTCAGCCCTCGTATTTAGTAGTACCTAAACATTAACGTTAGGGGAAAAAGATTGTTAGAAATGGGGATTTATCAGCTCTATTACTTTTAGCAATATACACTACTTTTTTTTTATGGGTGAAAATGGTAGACGGGGTTACCATTCCATTATTATGTCAAAAAACAGTCCTGCGCTAACGAGATGCCTTCCTTTCCCATGGCGGAGCACCAGTGAAGGGTGATAGATGAGAATAAAAACAGGCCAGTTAACCCATCATGATGAATTCATCAGGAATTAATCATGATAGTTTTCAGGGAGAACCGCGAGGAGGTCGACCTGGTTGGGTATATTGCTAGCAATGGATTCTCAGTCTCCATTACTAACAATCCGTTTCCCCCCAATATACACTATTAGGACGATCTCCTTACGGTTCTCCATGGAAATCATCGTGGTTAATTCTTGTGAAATGTATCACGGTGGACTAATTGATCTGCTTTTATTTTTACCTATCATCCTTCACTGGTGTCCCGCCAACGTATACCGATAGCGCAGGCAGGGTTACCATTCCATTATCATGTCACAAAAAAAACAGACGTTACTATGTGGTCTCAGTATAAAATATGACCACGTCTTCCTTTCCCATGGTGTCCTAAGAGGTGACTAGGAGAACTTAATGGTCGAGGGATTGGCAGATGCGTCCTTTTTAAAACATTACCAAAGCCTAACTGCGGTTGTCAACCGCCTGCCAAACATGGCAACTACTGGAAAATCCCTCCTTAGGGGGGAAGTCTGTGTTTAACAGTGTACAATTAATATATGATATAATAATGATAAAAAAAAAAACAAAAACGTAGTATAATATACTCAGTACACTTTCTAATCTATGGTAGTAAACGTAGGAATTTATAAAAACTTTTATTAACAATAGACAATATTTTTTTTTGTAAATTACTACTGGCTGTCTATATGCGACACATTCTGTAACTTCAAAAGTCTGTAATGACAAAAATAATTAACGTATTTACATTGTAATGCCTTGATATTTTAAGTTAAAAAAAGTCGTGTAACAAAGGAAGTCCTGAAAAAAGTAAACGAGAGGAGAGCGTTGATTGAAATAATAAAGAGTAGAAGAGGCAAAATGCTAGGCCACCTTATACGACATGACGATTTTTTAAGAGCATAATAGAAGGAAAGGTAGAGGACAAAAGAGGAAGAGGAAGATCGCGGATTAACTACATGGGACAGATAAAGGAAACACTAGGCGTCATGTCGTATAGGGAGATAAAGAATATGGCCTGGGATAGAGCTGGCTGGAGGAAGATGCATGAATTAGTTGCACCGACAAGAGGAAACTCTTAAATGAAAATGAACAAAAAATATTGCTAATCTAAATTATTAGGCGTATTTCTGTTATTAATTTTATTAATATAATAAAATTGTAACTGGACAATGTCTTTAAGTACCTACGTGGAAGATATTTATGAAAAGTCAATATAAAAGGTCTTTATAAAAACGAAAAATGACTATTTTAATAAAATTATTTTGTTTAATTCCGCTACCATTAATAAGTGTGTGACTGCCAACAATCGAAGATTGACCAGCACTATTTCTACCAAAAGTCCCACAACCGCCCGCCATTCAGCCATCAATTTCCGACTGCCATTTTGCTCATGCACGTTTTGCGACCGTGTTTCACCTATAAACAAGGCACGATCAGGTAAACTATTAAATTGCTCATCTGGCATCACGTAAAAATTACTGCACCAAATTGGATGCGGTTTTCACAATTGTTTTTAAAGGTCTAACTTTTATCTTGATGCGTCATCTAAGAATCATCTATTATTACAATTTAATGGTTAATTAGTAGGTACTCTCTTATTAAATATCGACTTAATTAATTTTCAGGTTAGAAATTCAGCAGTCTGCTTTTCTTGTCGTCACGTCATGGACGGAATTAAAAATTAAGTTATTTAAATATAACGCAGAGTTGAAATAGTGTAACGAGCAGAGTGGAAAGTTCTTTAGACTGTGATATGGGTATTAAGAGTGTTCATACTTCAACTTACCGAGGTATGGTTCATTACAATTATATGTAAATTTTCAAAAATAATATAACAATTTTCAATGTTTCTGACTTTTTTTTTAAGTGCTTTCCTAGTAAATTGTTAACCATAAAATATCTTGCATATAAACAAAATACTACTATATTACTTAACTATATATATATTTTTTTTTTAATAGATGATAATGGAATGGTAACCGCACCCGCGCTCTTAGTATACACCGGCGGGGCACCAGTGAGGGATGATAGGTGAGGATGAAGTAGGTCAGTTAGCCCGTCGGGACGAATTCAACAAGAATTGTTCACGATGTTTTCCAGGGGGAAGCACGTGGAGGTCAACCTAATAAGGCATATTGCTAGCAATGGGGCTGTCAAACTCCATAACTAACAATTCCTTTCCCCCCCATCTTTACTATATTACTAAATTCTTTTTTTTTATACCACTGAGGTGGCAAACAAGCATACTGCCCACCTAATAGTAAGCGCTGGGGGGAAAGGGATTGTTACTAATGGAGACTGAGAATCCCATTGCTAGCAATATACCCAACCAGGTCGACCTCCACGCGGTTCCCCCTGGAAACTATCATGGTTAATTCCTGATGAATTCATCATGATGGGCTAATTGGCCTGTTTTCATTCTCATCTATCACCCTTCACTGGTGCTCCGCCAGCGTATCCCGTTAGCGCAGGCGGGGTTACCATACCATTTTCACCTATCAAAAAAAAAAATAGTAAGCGGTTACCGTAGCCTATGAACGCCTGCAATACTAAAGCCATTATGCGCGCTTTGCCGGTTCTGAAAGAACCTCTTTATCTCTTTTTTTAAAGAACCCCATGCTGTAATCTCTTGGAAAAACCTCAACAGAGATCTCATTCCATAACCTGAGCGTTCGTGGATGGAAAGATCTCTGAAACCGCGCTGTACGCGACCGTTAAGGTTCTAAGGTACGGGGTGAAATCCCTGTTCTTTTTTATTACATAAATATTTCGTTGCGTCTTTTACATTTTTTTTTTTTGCTGTCAAACTCTAAATTGTCAGGGATTGCTGAATGTAATTGTATTCATGTATCTATCCTTCTGCCTATCCTTTGACCATTAAGTTCTCTTAGTCGCCTCTTAGGGCACCCATGGGAAAAGAAGGCGCGGTCGTATTTCATTCATGTTTAACTTACTAGAGGGAGACTTTACCAGAGGGAGACTTTGTACAAAAGTCGATTGCTTGGGTACCTCTGTCCCATTCGTGTTTCTACCGTGAAGCAGTTGTGTTTGCATGGCTGTGTTTCGGTTTGAAAGATGGGATATGGTGTGAATTTACAGGGTACAGAGGAATAACATCTGAGTCCTCAGGAATGGCAACGCATGGGGGGTATTATGGGCGAAACAGTATACTCTGTTATGTCCATGGTACTGCTCATGTCTATAGGCGACGGTTACCACTTTCCATCAGGTGGGCCGTCAGCTTGTTTGCAATTATAAGTTGTATAAAAAAAAAAAACTTGTTAATAAAGCACTTTTTAAAATAATCAATCAGAAATATTGATAATTGTTTATTAAAAGTTACCATTCCTCGGTAACTTTTCGCTAAATTAAATATGAACAATCATAATATTTAATTTAATATACCTAATAATAATACTTACTTACAAATATGACCTAAATAACCTACGCTAATTTCTCTCTTAAGTAATATTTTATATACTTACCTTACTTTGTTCTAAACCGACTCAACGTCACAGGTAAAAGTCTGAATAGTTTTTTTCAAAGTCCTTCCCGCCGAAAGGCGCGCACGCGAGCGGCTGGGCGCCATCTTTTGTATTTATTTTTTTTAATCCTGCGGTTGCGCTCGGATAGAAATCGCCCGGAGCCAAAACAGTCAGTCAAAAGTCACGCGTTCGGAGCTGGTTAAAAGAAAAAATCGAATAGAAAAGGGTCGTATCGTGAATGATACAGTTTTTTCGTTAAATTAGAGATTTAGAGCGTGTGTTTTTTTTTTTTAAGAAATTGCGTGCCGGACGCCCTGTAATGATACGTCTGTGTTCCTCTCAAGTTTACTTGGAACGAACAGTTTCTATATTTATTTTTTTATATACAACTGTTTTAGTTAGGTATATTTATAAAAGTAGGTTTTTGTTAAATCAGCGATTTCGTCCACATAATCGGAACATTGACCGAAATAAAATATATGAATAAATGAATGAATGAGTATACTTTATTTCCATATTTTTTAATGGATGATAATGGAATTGTAACCCCGCCTGCGCTATCGGTATACACTGGCGAGGCACCAGTGAGGGATGATAGGTGAGGATGAAGCAGGTCAGTTAGCCCACCGTGCCGAATCTAACAGTAAATCAATCACGATGGTTCCCAGGGGGAACCACAAGGAGGTCGATCTAATATAGTATATTAGTAGCAATGGGGCTACTAATCCCCATTACTAATAATTCCTTCTCTCCCCACTTTATCTACATTATACAGTATAGGGAATAAGCAAGACAATAAATGTAACGATACAGTTGTATAAGTACAGTAAGGCGCTCTTATTGCTGAAAGAAATCTTTTCAAAACAACCTTATGGTAATGGACTAATTGTCGTACAAATAGGCAACGGAAATAGGCAATACGGCATTGCAAGCTGACGGCCTACCTGATGGAAAGTGATAACCGTCG